TTGATCTAGTTCATGAAAAAAGAAAAAAAAATCCAAACTATCACCACAGTTGCTTGCATGTCAAATTCTGGATTAGCGTCCCRTAGCTAATCTCTATTGAAGCCACCGTATACTAGCTTTGATGTCACAGCAGTGGTTTGTGTGCAGCAGCCTCCTCACAGTAATCCCACAGACTCCTCTTCATAACAACTGCTCCCTCATCTCAACTCTGTCTTTATCTGTCACACCCTAACTGTGCCACTGTGTTTGTGGCATCTTGTGAAGATTGCTGGGACATGTTTTCTTGTTTGTCTTTTTTTTTCCTGAACGGTGTTGCTATGGTTATAGACCAAGGAACATGTAAGTGTGGATATTGAAATTCTCACACACTTTCCCCTTCTATCTGTGCTCCCCCACAGTATACYGAGTTTCTAAAAGTGCACATGCACACCTTAACACATCTATATAGAGTTTACACATACATATGAAACCATGACCCAGAAAAGCAGCCACAACTCAACWGTGCTAAATACATATTAGATAATGTTGCTTCTGGAGACTTTGCTCAAAACTGCAAATCAAAAYGTTATTTTGCCTTTGGGACAAGTATTGACACAAGCACACACAAACTCTCTCTCTCTCTCTACATCACTTTCCCAGTGGTTTTTTTCTTAGTGCACCCGTAATAATGGGTACGAATGTAATTAAAACTGACTTTTAAAACCTGTTTTTGTTTTTCAACCCATTAACACACTTCTACGAATAACCCATTTCTCTTTGTTTTATCTAAAAGCACAAGCCGAAGGAGAGGTTTTATTGTGGACATTCTAATTTTACATTATCTACAGTATCCTCAAGTGATATGTTTTCTGTTTTCACTGCAGATACGAATCTTCAAATTCATTTGAAAGATAATTGGATTAAAAAAAACACTTGTGAAGTATTTTATTTAGACCACTCTTACCCGTGGCATTAACTTGCTATCTAGATATCTAGATTAGGAGTAATGTTTTGTATTATGTGATGTAAAACCGGAGGTGGTCCGATTCATATTAAGATCTAATCGCGACCAAGTGTACATGCAATCCACACAGTACGGACACACTAGTGGTGAAAAAMAGGAGGACCTAAAGGAAACAGTAGGTTGAAAATTTTTGCACACAAATATCGTTTGGAGTGTAAATACTGCTGCGTTTGTTTACAGCTCCGACAGCCACAACTTGGTCATTTACATACAGAGAACTGATCACAGTGCAGGCAGAAATTAAATGAAAWAAACACTCAACAATGCCAGGGGAAATTCAAACACCTGTGAAACAGATGTTGAAGCCTAGATAAGGTACAGTATACACATGCTTATAGCGGTTTATTATATAGGGTGGGAGGGGGAACAAAGATATGTACTTCATATGTACTGAGGTGTGGCACGGTGGCTCAGATGCTAGCGCTGTTGTCGCTTAGCAAGAAGGTTGCAGGATCAAATCGTGGCCAGAGACCTTTCTGGAAAGAGTTTGAATGATCTCTCCGTGCATGCGGGGGTTTTCTTGGGATATTTTGGTTTCCTCCCGCAAACAAAATACATCAACGTTGGGCTAATTGGTGATTCTAAATCAGGGCTATTCAACTGGCGGCCCGAGTGGCCAAAAAGCGTCCCGCCAATTGGTTCAGTCATCTCTTAAAGGGGCAATATCATGTAAAATCAACTTTTTTGAGTTTTATGTCATGTTAAAATGTTGCACTCTCATAAAAAACATGCCCAAAGCCTTGCTTTGACTCATTCATGCATGTTTGAGAAATCCTGCAGCGTTTTTAGGCAGCCATGCTGAGGAGCAAAAC